ATTTATGAACAAATTGGAAACATATGTATGTATGGTAAAATTATAGAAGGTGACAGCAAAACCCAGCAGATTTGATTTCAACGTAATACTAGTGTCAATATGGATATGACAAATTATGTTTTTAAAAATCATCCAACAGGAAAATTGGGAACGCATACAATTCGAAATTGTTCTTTATTAAATATTCTCCCGTATTCAATTTACTCAGTCTGCCAGCTGGGAAAGTTTGAGGAAGCCAATCTTTCTTCATGGAATAACTCGCAGTTCCCAGCATTTTCATATTTGTTACACATATAAATAGCAATGGTTCAATTATAGGAAAGATGTGGAAGCGATAGAAACATAAATTTGATATATTTTCATTCATGTTTTTCAATTTTATTTTGAGCATTCGAAAATATTACATTTTCAAAATAAATATATTGTTACGTTCTTGGATTTTACTTAATCCCGTGTAGACGTTGTTTTATTTCCCAATACACTTCGTACTAAATAAAACGCGGGTTCTTTCCGATTACGATTATTACAATGATTTTATTGACACAATTTACTTTGCACGTTACTTTACAGCTTTACGTTACTTGACTGTTTCAATTCGCGATCTGATTCACAACTGACTGACTGCCTTTCGATTTCCCCTATTTATATGAGCCTCGCCTGTCGCTACAGAAGTTTCTAGACGATCTGGTAACACCTAGATTACGAACAATCTACAAATGCAACAAACACATACAACCTTACAGTGAGTAAACAATAACAACAACACATATACAGGCGAGGGGGCAACAAAGAAAGAGGAATTAAGTGATCATCAATGATGACGTTTAACAAGAATTGTACGTCAACAAAAAAATAGACAATGAAAGAGGAAATGGAAGGATGTAGAAAAATCCATACAGTAGTTGTTGTTGTGAAGTTATTCAAATAAACTGCGTAGTAGAAATTTACGTTACAATTCAAATTCTAAATTAACGGAATTCATCTAAATTAACTTAAATCTAAAGTTATATTCGTAACATTGCCCCCCGCTTAAGCCTGTTCGTCCCGAATAGGCACAGTTCCCGTTCCGTAGGGGGTCAGCCGCTCCAAATGTACAACTTTCATCTTCGACCTGGGACTGTCGCTCCTCTGGATGCGATAAACGACGTCATTTATTTTCGTGACAATCTTGTAGGGTCCTTCCCAGTGCGTTTGCAATTTGGGGCATACTCCTTTCTTTCGTTGTGGGTTGAACAATAATACCAGTTGCCCTTCCTGAAACCTATCGGTATTTGCCGCTCGATCGTACCTTGCCTTCATGCGGTTGCTAACCATTTTTATTCGATGTCGGACTGCATCGTGGACTTTACTAAAAGAGTTTTGACTGTCTTCATCTTGGTTCACATCGTCGTTTGGGGTAGCACCGAATATCAAATCGCCAGGTAGCTTTAATTCATTTCCGAACAGAACTTTGGCTGGGGCCCGGGATGTGGAATCATGAATGGCCGATCGATAAGCCAGTAAAAACTTGGGAATATGCTCATCCCAGTCTCGTTGGCCACTGTCCACCACTTTCCGTAGATGTTCTTCCAGGGTGCGATTGAATCTTTCCACCATGCCATCTGATTGTGGATGTAGGGGCGTCGTTCTGGTTTTCTTGATTCCGTAGGAGTCACACATTTCCTTGAAGATCGCTGATTCAAAATTCCTACCTTGATCGGAATGAACCTCAGATGGAACACCATAGCGACAAATCCAATTTTTGCTGAACACATCCACAATTGTCCTGGCTTCTTGATTTGGGATAGCATAAACCTCTGGCCATTTACTGAAGTAATCCATGACCACTAAGACATACCGGTTCCCAGAGTCGCTTGTTGGGAACGGTCCAGCTACATCCATAGCGATTCTTTCAAAAGGGGCTCCTGAATTATACTGCTGCATGTAGCCTCGACTCTTCCGTGTTGGACCTTTAGCTCTTATGGACCTTTCACAATTGGCGATCCAGTCGGCAATGGATTTTTGACAGCCGACCCAGTAGAATCTCTGCTTTACCTTTTCTGCGGTTTTTGCTATACCTAGATGTCCTCCACTTGGCCCATCGTGAAACTCCGACAAGACATCTCTTATTTTGGAGTCTGGGACGACGATCAAGTTCCGGTGAGATTTACCGTCCTCACCTTCCCATTTGCGATATAGGCAACCATCTATTATAAGTAGACTGTCCCACTGGGCCCAATAGGATTTTAAAAGAGGGCTTTCGGAGGTAATTTCTTTGCGACTAGGTCGCTTGCCCGTTTCTATGGCCGAAATTACTTTGCCCAGAATGGGATCTCTTCGTTGTTCCGTCGACCACCCGACTCGAACTGCAATAGTCGGACATCAACGATATTCTCTTTATTCTCAGCCTTTGAGCAGTGTCTGCATTCTACTTTGCATGGCCGACGAGACAGGGCATCAGCATTACCGTGTTTTCCGCCTTTTCTGTGCTTGATTCTGAAGTCATAACTCTGGAGCCTCTCGATCCAACGGGCTAGTTGACCTTCCGGATTCTTAAACTGCAGCAACCATTGGAGAGCAGCGTGGTCGGTCCTCAGCAGAAAATGCTGGCCATATAGGTATTTGTGGAAGTGTTTAACGCACTCAAGGACAGCAAGCAGCTCTCTCCTCGTCACACAGTAATTCCTCTCAGGCTTCGACAATGTTCGGCTGTAGTACCCGATGACTTTTTCCTGTCCGTCGATTTCCTGGGAAAGGACGCCATCGATGCCGCACGCACTTGCGTCTGTGTCCAGAACAAACTTGCCGCCAGGTATAGGGTATGCCAAAATGGGGCTCTGCATAGCATGTCTTTGAGCTTTCTGAATGCCTCCTCCTGGTCGTTGCCCCACTGAAACCTCTGGCCTTTTTGCGTCAAGCGGTGTAGACAGGCGGCGATGTTGACAAAATTTTGGAGAAATCGACGGTAGTATGTGCAGAGACCCAGAAAGCTTCGCAGCTCATGGAGATTTCGGGGCTGCGGCCAATCTCTGACGGCTTGAATTTTCTCCTTATCCGTCGATATGCCCTCCGGCGTCACGTGGTGCCCCAGGAACTTCACCTCTCGTTGGAAGAGACTGCACTTCTTTGGGTTCAGCTTGAGGCCTGAAGACGAAAGCTGCTGTAGAACATCCTTTAAGTTCTTGATGTGTTCGTCGAAGTTGCGTCCCATAACTATGATGTCATCCAGGTATATGAGGCACGACTTCCACTGCAGCCCTTTTAACACACGCTCCATCAGCCTTTCAAATGTAGCCGGGGCGTTGCAGAGTCCGAATGGCATGACATTGAACTGCCAGAGACCCCCATTAACGCCAAACGCTGTTTTCTCTTTATCTTTCTCGGCGATCTCTACTTGCCAGTACCCACTCTGCAGGTCGAGGGTGGAGAACCATGACGTCCCGGCTAATGTATCCAATGTGTCGTCGATTCTTGGGAGCGGATAGCTGTCTTTCTTGGTGACATCATTCAACTTTCGGTAGTCCACACAAAATCGGGTGCTTCCGTCTTTCTTCTTGACCAATACCACTGGGGAGCACCATGGACTTGACGATGGTTCTATTACACCACTCTTTTCCATTTCACTTATCAGCTTCTGTACCTCGTCTCTTTTCGCCAGGGGAACACTTCTTGGAGGCTGTTTAATGGGTCTCGCGTCTGCTGTATGGATTTCACCACTGATGTTCTTCCCTGGTGCTCTTTTGTCAACGCAAAGGTAGAGGCATATTTCCATAATAGCTGCTTAGCCTTGTTCCTCTCGGAAGGTGATAATTGGTGTGTCCACTCTTTTATGTAGCCGTCGAGGTGCTTCTTCTGCATGGCTGCTGGCTTTTCGGTGCTAGTTTCCAAATTAATTACAGCTTCAGCTGGTGTGCATTGTCCAACATCGGAAAATTGGCAAATTTGCTCTTGCTTGTTTGACAGGTTCAAAACTCTAACAGGAATCAATCCGTCCTTGTTACTTTTCACCAGGGCATTCGCTATTAGGATTTTACTGTTTATGTTTTCTGCTGGTTCCACCACCCACAACTTCTCGGCTCCACAATCTCCATTCATTGGTACCCATATTATTGCTTCGGCACAGGGCGGTATTATCTCTGGATGGTCCGTAATCAGACGTCTAATGGGTGTACTTTCATCGTAGCCCACGTTTAACGGAATTTCGACGTTAGACCAGGTCATCACACGCTCTTTCATATCCAGATTGATACCAAAGGCAATCATAAAATCTGCGCCTATTATCACTTCGTCTACGATATCGGCAACTATAAACTCGTAATTCTCCGATTTATTGGCAATAGTTAGTCTCAGGGTAATCTTGCCGTGTACTGCCGCGGGCTCCCCCGTTGCTGTGCGCAGTCTGACTCCATTAAGTTGCGTTATTTTTCCCTTTACCAGATCCGATCTTATGATGGACTTTGATGCGCCAGTATCTAACGTCAGAACTCGCTTGTCACCATTGATGTACCCAGTTGTTGTTAGGTTGTGACTTTTCTGTTGTACTATTGCTATGGAGATTGTGGGGCCATCGTCGATGGGAGCCAGTTCATGCCCCGCTGGACTGGCTCGATTTAGTTTAACGGTGACTCCTTGGTGGCCTGTTGAGCCATTCTTCTACCATCTTTCGTTGGAGGTGGTGACAATGACCTGGATCGTTTGCGCTTAGCTCTGCATTCGCGCGCAATATGACCTGCTTTATCGCAGTTGAAGCATCTAATCCTGGGCTTAGTCATCCCTACTGACTTTGTTTCTTCTTTTACCTGCCTCATGGCGTCCTTGATCGAGTTAACGAGAGATTTGGGTTCGCAACATTCGGTCTCCAGTTGACGAATCTTGTGGGTCTGGGGCTAAACAATTATTCTTTTTTGTTGTTAATTAATCCAGAATTTATTGGCAATATTTTTTTATTTTTGTTCACACATCTTCAGACTATTAACATTTCATTTGACAACTCAGTTTGTATTAACGAATCTTTACATAGACTATGAATCTCCAAGCAATTCCTTTTGTTTAGCTTGCAAAATTTTCTCGGCTTCGGCAATATATTTATCTGCTATAGCGGTTATCTGTGTCTGTACCGAAAAGACATCATCTTTCGAAAATTCCGTTTGCTTTTTAACCTTTTTAATGCAGTTATTTTGAATATCCTTGATGGAGTCGCGATATTTGATGAACAAATTCTTGGCATTCTTTGAAAGGTTCTCACGATGTTCTTTGGTAACTTTGGGTATGGGTATAAAAAGTGTTGTACCATCCTGTTGGGGATTTAAATTCATGCCGCTCTTTTCCAAGGCCTTGAGAACATCGGGTATGGTCTGGGGAAAGGCAATCATATTCACGACAATGGTTTTAGGATTCTTACGTGAGATTTGTGCCAATTCCTGCAGTTCATGTTCAGTGCCATCAACTGTAACGCGTAGTGTATCAATGGCCCCTGTTGTTGAACGTAAAGATAAATGCTTTATAAAGTCATCCTTCATTTGCTGCACTGCCTTTTGCATTTGTGCATTTACAGCATCATAATTTATGATGTCGCGCAAAAGTGTTTCATTTATTTCCACCTTGGCGGCCTTCTTTCCTTTTTCCTTTTTCTTGTCTTTGTTTTTTGCATAACAACATTCTGTGGTAGCGATCGAAGCTTTTTGCAATGAAATGGGCCATACGCTTGACGAAGCCAACGTAGTACTTCTACCGGCAGCCTTATTTAACGCTGGTACTTGTGAGCGAATTATATTCTGAATAAGTAAAGCACTTTGTCTGGTAAACATTTTAAATTGTGATTTTAACTAAAATGAAATCCGATTTGTTGCTTAAAATTGCAATGGTAATTTTGCCGTCTCTTGGGCAAGAGCAAACGAAACGGTTTCGGCAAATGACGCTTTTGGTGACGCATATGTTGCACATTTAATCTCAGGGTCACGTATGCCATTCACAAAGGTTTCGATTTTCATACGGTCCAGCAATGGGTGATTCTCTCCTGAATACGTCATTAACACCAAACGTTCCACCTCAGCTGCAAAGTCTTGTAACGTCTCGTTTGCCCTCTGTACTCTTCCCCTTAATTCCATAAGGTAGATGTTTTGTTTATGTTCGCCACCGTACTTACGTTCCAGTGCAGCAATAACATCTTCATTGTTGCTTCTAGAAGCGACAGGAATACTCTGTATAACATCAGCAGCACTGCCCTTCAATCCCAGAAGTAGTGCAACCGCTTTGTCGCTGTCGTTCCACGAATTTCTAGAAGCCACTGTCTCGAACTGTAACTTGAAAACATTGAATGACGTAGAGCCGTCGAATACAGGAGGTTTGATTTTTAGTGTGTTATCAGGAGCTCGCACCGGACCACCTTTAATTTCAAGTTCCGAAATTTTCTTCTCCAGATTCGTAAACCTGTGGTCGTGGGCCAGAAATTTCTCTTCAACCGACTGCACTTTCTTATCCAACTCTTTAATCTGGACCTCCACGGTTTCCACTCTCCTTCCAATAACTTCTGTAATGTTCTCGAGTTTCTCGTTCATTCTACAGTTCTCTGCCTTGAGTTCATCTAACTTTCTGGAATTCTCTTCGAACACTTCATCCTTACTGTCAAACTCACTTACTGTCACTTCACTTCATCCTTACTGTCAAACTCATATGTATCGATGTTCATACCACGGCGCTCGAACTCATCCAACAGACGTTTTTGTAGTTCAGCCTTGTTGCCAGTAGAGGACAATTCCAATTTATTAAGTTCCTTCTTCAAGTCTTCCACTCGTAGATCCTTAAACTTCATCGTAGTATTATCGTAATCCCACTTCTGACACCAATTGTTACGTTCTTGGATTTTACTTAATCCCGTGTAGACGTTGTTTTATTTCCCAATACAGTTCGTACTAAATAAAACGCGGGTTCTTTCCGATTACGATTATTACAATGATTTTATTGACACACTTTACTTTGCACGTTACTTTACAGCTTTACGTTACTTGACTGTTTCAATTCGCGATCTGATTCACAACTGACTGACTGCCTTTCGATTTGTAAATTAGGATATCAAATCATAACTGTTTAGACTAGTATTATAATGAAATGAAGTTGATTTGTCAGCTGTTATTCGTTTACGTATATATACATATTTCACTGCTTCCATGATGTCAGCGGCAATGTTTGAATCAATATTATAATAATTTTGTCAGGAACTGTTCTTTTTTAGGTCAAAAATACATAAAAACCTTTGTCGTTCTAAATTATAGTAATATTTAATATGAATGCGATCAAAAAATAAATGTTCAGCCATTGACATATTTTTATTAGAAAAGTGGATAACAAGTGGAAAATTTATGTTGTTTATGAATACTTGAATTTCTTCATCCATTTTAATGTTATCAATACAAAATTCACAAAATAATCAATTTGCTCGACTTTTGGGTAAACGAAAAACATTTTGTAATAATTTGTACGTATTAGCTGTGTTTCCAAACCTGCAAAATAGTACTATATTGTACTAGTTTTGCAATTTTTGCTAGAAAAGCGTTCCCTTACGCCGAAAAGTAGGACAATTTGAAACCAAAGGGACACACGCACAGACGCACACACATTTGCTTAAAAAAAAAACAAATAAGATATTAAAAAATGGACAAACAAATTTTTTATTCTCTTTTGGAGGATAGCGAAGATGAATGGCTGCCAGAAGATTCAGATGAAGATACTATAGAAAGAAGACCTGGGTTGGTTAATCGTACTAACCAATGTGTGTATGTCAAGTTTAGGGAATCCACTTGGATCGCTTTGACATTTTTACAGTAAGTAGTCCTCGGTGAACTGATTACAGTGATATATATTTTATGGGGAGAAATGCATACTTCCCGAGACATGGGCCTTGAAAGTTCGGAGAGTATGTTGTTTTAATCAGCCGTTTGACTATTTCCAGCAAGGTAGTATGAGTATCATTTTAAAGGTTATGGTTTGTGCTTTAAAACTAGATGAAGACTATATCATCATAATGTATATACAATTTAAAAAAAGAATTTGGATTGCGTAGCCATGTACGCGCTTGTCCATATGTGAAAAGGTTGTTTTAAACAAAATATGCTCCGAAATTTCAAGGCCAATGTCTCGGGAAGTATGTATTTCCCCAGATGAAATGTATATCACTAGTCAGCACAAGGGGGGCTGCTTACGGTAATCATTTCAAAATGATCCGAGTGGAGCGCCTAAACATTAACATTATGGGAGCGCCCAGCCATGTAAGGCTTTCCGGACTTGGAGTCGTCGGAAACTCCACTTCCAAATATTCGATAATGTTTTCATCTAAATTATACAAATAAAAAATAAACAATAAATATTAATATTATCAAAATCACACAATGGACGCCGTTTAACTTTTTGTTCCTTTGTGTGCATTAGGTTTCTGTAGTTTTTTTTTTTTTTTTTTGTCCTTAATTGATGAAATTTTTGATTTTGACGTTTCTTCATGTCATCTTGTATGTGAGAGTAATTTTTGATAGTTCGCTCTTTTACTGGCTTTACTATCAAAAAGTACGGGAACGAACCTATTATTAAGTAAACGAACGAACCTAGTATTATTTGTAGCAAACGCAGGGTCGTATTTGAATTTAGCGTAGGATTTCGTGCAAGTCGAGATGTTAGTGTATTAAATTTGCATCGTAAATCGAAGTAAATTGATTTAGCAATTCATTTCATTTCATACAATATTTTTTCAAAGTTCTAAGAAATATATATGTACCATGGTACAATTATAAAAGGTAACAGCAAATCCCAGCTGATTTGATTCCAACGTAATACTAGTGTCAATATGAATTTGACAAATTATGTTTTTAAAAATAACCCAACAGGAAAATTGGGAACGCATACAATTTGAAATTGTTCTTTATTAATGTGCTCCCGTATTCAATTTACTCAATCTGCCTGCAGGGAAAGTTTGAGGAAGCAAATCTTTCTTGAAGGAATAACTCGCTATTCCCAGCATTGTCATATGTGTTACCCATATATATGGCAATGGCTCAATTAAAGGAAGGATGTGGAAGCGATAGAAATATAAATTTGATAGATTTTCATTCATGTTTTTCAATTTTTATTTTGAGGATTCCATTTTCAAAATAAAAATAATTTGATGATAATTTGTTTGTTTGTTTACGTTTTTCTGTCAAATGAGTTGACACTAGTAGAACTTACAACAACAAATTTTCATGTGGTTGTTGTATCGTTTTTTGTACAACAACACTTGCTGTTACCTTTTATTATTATACCATGTATATGTACTAGGAAGTTTAATGAAATTTGGTCTGTTCCCGTACAGCAAGAATCGGCTACTTTTTACTACGATAACAAATTTCCCTTTATGATATCGAAGAAAATAGTAAAATCGAGTAGATTCTTGCAGTACGGGAACAGACCAATTGCCTATATTGTGAGAGTTTTTCATTTTTCATTTAAGAAAATTTATTTTCATCCATTCAAGAAACAACTCTTGTGTTTAATTTATAATTTTGTAAAATATAATAAAATTTTAAACTATTAAATCGAGCTAAAGGGGTATTAACATTATAACTTTTTACCAGTTTAAACGGCATTTACATTATAACTTTTCACCGGGTTAACCTGCTTTATATACAATGGAATTGACAATTAAAACCCACTGGGCTAATGAAATCCGTTACAATGTAAACGTACTATTAACCTACTTTATCAGGATTTATTTGACATATATACAATAAAATTGACAATTCAATCCCACTGGGTTAACGAAATCCGGTATAATATAAACGTACTATAATGCACTTTATCGCTATAAAAGGTGTAGTCTAAACACCCTTTTTATCTCAATATAATCAATTTTGCGACCATACTTTCGAATAAGAATTCTCATCTGATGGGTATTTTCCAATTTTTACGCATTTGTCAATGGTTAACCGGTACATCGGAACGGTTATTTTAGTTCTTTTATTAAATGTGGCATCTCTTCGGGTAGTCGACAATAACGAAGTTTAATCGATCTGATGGGTATTTTCCAACTGACACAATCGTGTAATTGGAATTTTTACGCATTTTTTATGGTTAACCGGTATACCGAAACGGTTATTTCTGCGTCTTGTCACCCGCAGATCCTACAAAATTGAAAAATCGCCTTCGCCCTTATCATATTCAGTAAAAGTTTGAGTGTATCCTTTAAAGAAAAGCTAATTTGATGTCCAAAAACGACTTCCCTTGGATTGCCGACTAGAAAAGTGTTAATAGCTAATTCATTAAACATTTGGAAGTTGTTTGCTCGCACACACTCACACACGTTTGTGGCTCCCTTCTTTATTAAATGGGATGCGCCTTACGAGAGTATGTACGTTGTCACGCCAAAAACGAAAAAATATATATAATAATGTACACTTGAATAGAATTTGGCGAAAGTAAAAAAGAAAAAAAAAAGAAGTTTAGTTGGTGCGATATAGAAGATTTCTTGTGTGGACGAAATATGTATATATGTGGATATGATTTGTGAACTTCTGCTGCCATCAAGGAACCGATTGGAATAATACACAAGTGAAATTAGAATTTAGTAATACACGGTAAAGGAAAGGAAATTGTTGTTATGACCATTGTTGTTGCAGCATTTTGTGGTGGTGCAATTACTTTGTTTTGTTTCCAATTCGAATTTGAGACAGTAGTAATAGTGGAAAATAATAATAATAACAACAACGACACAAACAAAAAGTGCTGTTTGAATACAAATCGTGGTTTTCGTATTAGTTATTGATGCATTTCATCAACGCTTCAG